TTTCATTGCTGAAAAGCCTGCTTTAAAGGCGTTTTTATTGGTTGTTTTATTGGTAGATGTCCTCCTACTTTGCCTTTTTCAAAGGTCAAGTCAAGGTAAAAATTCGAAGCTTTGATCGAGCTTTGCACTTCCCTGAAATATAGGGATATTCTTCTACTGTAGACAAAAACACCCACCTTAATCTTGATAGGAATGTCATTTTCGCTGCATTTGCCTACTTGCAGACACAACAGAATGACTATATAAATACTGACATTTCGATCGTCCATTTCGATGATACCTACCGTGTGCTCCACAGCAGGGTGAGAGCAGATACGGTGACTTGTGCGTGATGTCTTTTATAGTATTAGTGGACTTGCGCAGCATTAATCGCACTCTTGCTTCCTCCCTTACCTGGGCCGCGTGTCAACAGAACCGGAGGTGGGAGAGGGCGCAGGTGACTGGGCGGCTGGAGTTGCTCCTAGGCGTGCCGCCGCATTTGGCTTAGATCCCACTGAGTGGGAGTGTCATAAAGGCCATATTGAGAAGGATGGTATAGAAGAAGAAGCGATCGCTGGAACAAGGGCTTTATTCGCCTGGCGTTTCGGATTTTCACTTAAACCCATCAACAGAAACAGTGGCAGAAAAAAGACCCACTGCCACGGCAAGAAACATCTGGAGCCGTTACCGGATCTGGTGCAGTTAAAGGCTAAACAACTACGTCGGAGAAACTGGAAGCCTGCTCCGGACGCGAATTGTCGAACACGCGGCAGCGGTACGGAGAAATAACGCCAACTCTCAGGTCGCGGCCCATTTGACGAGACCCGGCCACGCATTCAAGTTCGATGATGCCGAAATTCTCGTGAGAGGAGATAACCGCGTGAGCTGCCAGTTGCTTGAGTCATGATTCACGGGACCTCAGTCTATCAGCAAGTGCAACGACATCCCCCCTTCATATTGAGTGCTGAGGCATAGGCTAGCTAAAGTAATTGACCACTCGAAGAGCGCGCAAGCCGGTGAGCCAGATGGCCGCGCAATTACCACGCCAGCATCCAACACGGGTGATTAGGTTTCAGCAGTTAACCATTTGCATGCCGGCCATCAGGCAATATGGGCACCAGCGGGCAACAATCCCTGATGAAGTGGAGCGCGGTTAACTGCTATAGGTATGCGGTAGCGTAGCGACTGCATCCTATAAATACTGCAACTTCCTGTGCACCTGTTACCCTTTTCTGCTACTGTCTCTAATGACGGATTCAAGTGAGAATCCGAAACGTCAGGCGAGTGAAGCCCTTGTTCCAGCGATCGCTTCTTCTTCTTCTTCTTCTTCTTCTTCTTCTTCTTCTTCTTCTTCTCCCTTTTCTTCTTCCTTTTCTTCTTCTTCTTCTTCTTCTGATCAACTAGTGCCCGAAACTAGCATCTTCGCTTGTATCGGCAAGGATGGTCTATTTACCAAGATATTGCTAGAACCTTTAATAGTCTCTGTATCAGTATATTTCAGGGAAAGTAGGCGTGTACCTTTGAAATCCCTATTGGTTACATGCAGAGGAAGTATATGGAGGAAATAGAAAGGAAGTAACATGAAATAAATGCGAGGGGAATAGCAAAAACTGTACAGATGAACACAAAATGTCATGCGTTAACAGAATTTAGAGGCACATTAACTTGCTTTGTTGATTAAATACAGCGAACAGTTGAAGCACACTTAAGATACTGGAAAAGAACTAAAATCTTTTAATCTACAGGTTCGTTTTTAAATCGCGCATTAGCGGAAGGAAGACTGTACAAAAAGTATTTTATCATATGCCTTAAAATTATTATAGCCACTTCGAGGAGGGCCTTTTCGCACGGAGCAGCAACGTGTTGGAACGTTTAGGCAAAGAATTGCCTGTAGGCATTATTAGTGTTTTTGGGCGTGAAATCACACAGGGTAGTACATCTGACCTGTTAAAATCGATAAGGCGTCTGCTTTTGTAAAAATAATCTTCTTGTTTACAACCTGCTCTATCTGATTTGTGTGGGGAAAAAAATCAATTTTCGAGTGCAGAAAGCTCCGCTGGATGAATCTCCAGTCTAGATTATCCCTCCCCCTAATAGATGAACACGCGCGGATGCACAAATGTTACCTAGAGCAGCCCCTTGGATACGAAACAGTCCGAATACAAGTAAAAATAAATTGGAACTCAAATTTGCAAGCATTTCAACTGACAAAATTAAGCATAAACATATTTTGCATGCAAAGAGGACATTTTCGGAAGGGGCTGGGCGAATAAATAAAATTTTCAATATTTCGGGTACCTAAAACTAATCATCTCAAGTTTCGTCACCACGTTACATGAATTAGGTCACGTGTTGTATATACATGACAATGGTTTATGTTATACTTCCAACGCAGGCACTAGACGAAATCTATGCTGGGGATTATGGTGATAGTTCGACCATCGATTTCGATGATGTCCACCGTGTACCCCACAGCAGCAGCGGTGGGAGCAGGGACGGTGACTTGCGCAAGGGTTTATAGTGCCCGTAGACTTGCGATGCATCTACCTGCACTCTCTCGTCCTCCCCCGCCTGAGTCCGGTGTCAAGACAGAGTCAAGAAGACCGGAGACGAGGGAGGCCGCAGGTGGATGGCTCGGACGGATCCTCACCTTGGTGCTCCACTCCGCACCCCCTTGTCCGCACATAAATGACCAGGATTTTGACCACAAAAACAATGGGATGATGACAGTTCTCCGAGTTGTGCGACGACTGCCGACAACAGGGTCTGCCAGCGCACCCCGCAAATGTTGGCATTTGTTATTGCGCACAGATAACGCCTGCCAAAATCCGATGTGACCCCCGTGTTGGTCCAGCGCATCTAACACGTGGCCCGTTTAGGGGGCGCATATGCTGGGGATACGGTACTAAACACTGTCACAAAATTATGCGGTCAGATGTGGCTATTTAGCCCCACCTGAGGTAAACAAACCCCGGCCACCTGTAATACCGGACCGGTGGTAATAGGGGTTTTTACACACGGGGCCGGGGAACGCACAGGCGACGAGGTCAAGTAGTTGTATACAAAAGAAAAGCTGTTGGGAGTGCGCGGTTGTACTTTGAGTGGCTGAGAAATAATTACCCTAACCCCCAACCCTAACCCCTAAAACTAAATGCTGACCCTCACCTCTAACCCTAACCCACAACCCCAACCTCAGCGTCAGGTGGGGATACGTTATCACCTCTTACCAACTGTGCTATTAGTAATACCAGTTGTTTGCTGTAAATTCACTGCATGGTTATTCCGCGGAAGTTTATTGTCCTGTAGTTAATGATTTCCAAAATTATTAGCCAAATATACCGAATAGAGTTTTAAGCTAGTGCGTGTGGAGAAAACCAAAGCTCTGTGCTTAAATTCTGTGATGACGCCTATTTACCAAAGCTGTGGAGGGAACCGGTATGTTGCGATTGAGTTAAGGCGATTGCTTATCAACAAGCTAGCCAACATCCCTCCGACTGTGTCCTACTTTCTGCAGAATAGCAGAAAACGATAGTTTTCCAGTTAGCTTGTCTGTAATGCTGTCTGCTTCCTGTCTAAATAACGATGGCATTGTTTGCATGGAGAGCGTGAACACGATTTTTTCTCTAAGGCTTTTTGGTTGGATGTGGCGCAGCATGTTCTCACCATCGCAAAAACGTGATGGTTCTATATAAGATATATCCACATAGCATGGCACACGACGTGGAAATTTACGTAGGACACTGTCCTTAACAAAAACGGCCAGACTGGGCGCTGCTAAACTGCATCACGGCCGCGGGGTTTTTCTCACCAACTGGCATTGTTTGTGTATACGAAGTAGTCACGCACGCGACGGCTCGACCCGCGTGAACGATGATGTCCACAGTGTGGTTCCAGGCACTGGCTCGCCGGTCACAGTGCAGTGGATTCGCAAGCGAACGACCAGGCCGATGCGTGATGTGGAGGTGTGGTTGCGATGAGGGCAGGCTGAGAGCGAGTACGTATTTCCTATGGTGGGGCGGTCGTTGGTTCGAGGATCGGGACGTCCTCGCCTAGGGTGCAAGTGGGAGGGGTGGTGTTCTTCGCTGCGGGGTTCTGGTAGGGATGACGGGCGGGGTAATGGTCGGCGACGGTAGTGGCGGAGGGCATTAAAAGTGTGATCACCGGAAGTGGTCGTTGTGAGGGCTGGCCCAGAGGTGGCGATAGAGGCGTTTTCGGTCGCTAGGTTATCATTGCATTGGGTCCGGCGATGTCCGAAGAGGCCGACTCGCGCGCAGAGGGTTCGTTGACAGCGTGGACATGATGGTAGGAGTTGGTTGTTGGCGTTGTGAGTCGGAGGAGCTTGAGACTTGAGAGCCCCTCTTTTGTCTTCGACTGGCTGCGTAGATCGTTACTCCAGTCTTTGCTGCTGTTTTCAGGCCAGTTGGTCTTAGATGATGTCCGTCCAGGACTTGGGTTTGATTTGCAGTTGCTTGGAAGGCGTTTTCAAGGTGTCATTGTTGTGTGTTTTTTGGTCGTCTTTCGGTGAACACCCATAGCAGCAGCAAGGCAGAAGAGACGCTTGAGTAACCGCCGGCCATCTATCTTCGCAAAGTGGTGTTCTGGTGCAGTTGCAGTCGCCCTAGCGTGGCGTGGGTGTTGGGGACTCCGTCTCCCTCGAGGACTCCTGTGTCCGGGACCCTGTCTTGCCATCTCACTATCAGTACTCTTCGAAGGCAACTGAGATGGAAGTGGCAGAGTTTTCTGGTCTGTCTTCTGTAAGCTGTCCAGGTCTCCGCTCCGTAGAGCTGCATTGTTAAGATGACAGTTTTATGTCGAGATGGATGCCGTGTCGGCCGGAGGCCTGAATGGCCTTGAAGATCTGGCTTGCCACTTAGTCGTTAATTTTGATGCTTTTTGATAGCGTACAGTCTAACTAAGCACTGCGTTCAGCGTTGGGTGGCGGTTGACGCATGACCACCGTTTTGTCCGTGTTGATTTTCAGCCCAAGGACGGCGAAGAAAAGGTTTATGATTCATTGCCTATCAACTTCTGTTCCGCTGTCGAGAGCAATCGTTTGCAAAGAGCAGGCTGTGGACAGTAATCGTAGAGAGCCGCGTTGGGACCTGCATGAGACGGCTGTTGAGAAGATATTCATCGGTCCTGCAGTAGATACTGATTCCAGGGTGCTCATCAGGGTAGGCGTCCGTTAGCATGGCGGAGAATATGAGAGTGGAGACGTTGGGCGCGAGAAAGCAGTCCCGCTCCATTTCATCGGTCACTGTGAATGCTTCCAAGACTGTCTCGTGGTCCGTGACGCGCGCCATCATCTCGTAGTAGAACTGATGCACCTTGTGCGTAAATCGCTCAGAAAATTTGATTTTAAGCATAATTTTCCAGAGCCCATCGTGAGTCACCGTGTCAGAGGCTTCTATCAGGTCTCAGAAGGTAGTGTAGAGGTTTTTATGCATTTCCTGACACTTCTCTTGCAGTTGCCAGACGGCCAAAATCATGTCAACGACATCCAACGCATGAAATGAAATCTGCGGTAGTAGTAACAGGCTGACGCAATTTTCAGACAGCGAGCCTGAAGTAAAAAGATCGAGAAGCAAAGTCAAATGCAACGGGAAGGCCTAAACTTCTGGCGTTTTTGTCTTTTATGTGCAGCAAGCACCCGGCCCTCCCCCATCGTCGTCGTCGTCGTCATCATCATCATCCTCACCACCACCACCACCACCACCACCACCACCACCACCACCACCACCACCACCACCACCACCACCACCACCACCACCACCACCACCACCACCACCATGACAGTTTGACCGTCGATTTCGACGATGTCCACCGTGTGCCCCACAGGTGCAGCAGCGGTGGGAGCAGGGACGGTGACTTGCGCAGGGGTTTATAGTGCGGGTAGAATTGCGCTGCATCTACCTGCACTCTCTCCTCCTCCCCCGCCTGGGCCCGGTGTCAAGACAGAGTCAAGAAGACCGGAGACGAGGGAGGCCGCAGGTGGATGGCTCGGACGGATCCTCACCTTGGCGTTCCACCACACCCCCTGGTCCACACAACAATGACCAGGATTTCAACCAACACAACAAGGATTTGGAGGCTGGCACGGCCGAAGCCGCACCTAGGCGTGCCGCCAACGCCTGGCTCGGATCCCACACTGTGGTGAGAGTGCCATAAAGGCCACATTAAAAAGGAGCCATTGCAGTCTGACTCTCAGACCGCCTCCCGTTAAGGAGGCCGTCCAAGGTACCCCGTCAGTTGGCGACCTTCCAAGCCACGGCTTTTAGTGCACCGTGATAGCTTCAAGCGCGTCAGATTGTTTATAGTGAGGAGAAAGTGCTCTGAGTCGTCGACCTCACTCTCCCTTCCTACTCCCACACCCCAGCCGCTGTCCGAGCCGGTCAGTAGACTGGAGTAGGGAATGGACGCGGTGGCTGACATGGTCGACTGACCATGCCTGCGCGCGCCACAGCACGACCTGGCCCCCCACACACACACAAACACCAGGATTTCACACAACGGGGGTTGAACGACGTGTCTCTCACTTGCGTGAGAGTGCCGTGGAAGGTGCTGTTGCAGCCCGTCCCCAGCCCACCAGTCCGCCACTCCACACAACACACACACACAACGTGACGAACTGCGTGAACCGAGAGCGGGCCTCAATCAGCAACCTTCCTATCCACGACGCTTGACGTGTCGGGATAGTCTCGGACACAAGTCACCCGTGCAGCCGAAGCCACATGGGGACCGAGTCGATATGCACACTTCCCACTTGCGTGGGAGGCGGCAGTTGAGTGCATGAGGTGTGTGAGTGTTGATTTCTGGTGGGGTGATGGTGTTAGGAGGTAGGGAGTGAGGGAACGTGTGGTGTGACCGGCGGTTGTCTACCGCAGGTCGTCGTGAATGCGCATGTGGCCGAATAGACCCATGCGATGCGTGAAGGTGCGAGGGCAGTGTGGGCAGTGGAGGCGAGTGCGGTGAGTGTAGGTTGGTGCTCCAGGCACTGGTTCGCCAGTCTCTGTGCGATGGATTCGCAAGTGACCGACCAGGCCGATGTGTGAAGTGAAGGTGCGATCGCAGTGAGGGCAGATGTAGTCCTGGCCCTCACGTCTGATGATGGAGGTTGCAGGGGTTGTGCAGGGTTGCAGGGTTGTTGTGTCAGGTTCGGCTGTGGTGAAGTCGTGGGCGACAGACGCCGAAGCGGCCGCCGTTGTGGCAGTGATGGAGGAAGAGGAGGAGGAAGGGGAGGAGTGAGGGGTGGTAAGGTCGGTGGCGTCGATGTCGGCTGGGGAGTGGTTAGTGGGTGCACAAGGCGGTGGGTTGGGAGTGGGGCTCGGCGGGGTGGGTGTGTCAAGGCTGCGGTCAATTCCGCTCTCGTGGTGGTGGTTGCCACCACCACCACCACCACCACCACCACCACCACC